TTTTTTTTTTTTTTTTTTTTTTTTTTTTTTTTTTTTTTTTTTTTTTTTTTTTTTTTTTTTTTTTTTTTTTTTTTTTTTTTTAGGGTGGCTCCAAGAGCTGCTCCAATTAAAGCACCAGGAGCATCTCATGTATCAGTCCCCCCGTACTTAAAAATGGCAGTAGGAGCGCGTTAGATAGAGCGTCCCTGCTGGTTTTAAGTGTAGGGATGCTGATATAAAAGATGCTGGAGTGCGGTAATCATGCTCCAGCAGACTCAATTAATCAAGTCTGTTCTGATGCTCTGTAATTACAGTGCCTCAGAGCAGCCTTGCTGCTCGTGTGTAGGCACCCTAAGTGTTTAGCAGCAGCTTTTAACAGTGCTTTTGTAAATGAGCTGGACAAGTCACTGGTAGTACACATCATCCCCTCAACTGGCTTCAGTTAGCGGAGATTTTACTCCATAGGACTTGTATTAAAGGTACTTTTGTCATAATTATGTAGAGTTTTAATCAACTAAAATAATAGTATGTAGCTGAGAAAGCTTGTATATCCTTTAAAACAAATTCTAATTTGTACTTCTGATCTTTCCAGGAAAGATCAATTAGTTCTCGGCGCTGTTCTTTTATACAAGTTTTTGTGTTGTTTTTTTTTTTAAAGGAAACCCTTGAGGAATAAAGTCACCTCACTTTGACTCTGCATGTCTCGCTCTTATTTAACAGTTTAAAAAAGAAAGTGTCTAGCTATGTACTATAATAGTCTCTTTCTAAAACTATGAAAAACCCATGCATTACACACTTGCCATATTTTTAGAAAGCTTATTTATATTCAACAAAGATCTTTAGAAGACTTGATAAACAATTCAAATAGTTTAAAGTAACTTGAGCTTGAAGTAGAGTTGATTAAGTATCAAATTTTTTTGCTTGCACTTTGTACTCTTGTCAGTAGTAGCATTCCACTCGCCAAGAAGATATTAACTGGAGACCTAGAGAGTTGATAGGATGTGTCATGAAATACTGATCATCTGCCAGCTTTGCTCTCCCACTGAATATGTTAAGGTCATTTAACCAGCTCCAAGATGTATATACAGTCTTAATGTTATTCTCAGGATGGAGAACAGCAACTTGCAGACAAAAGGTCCAGACACAGCTGAACCAGTTCTTTGCAGAGTCCATAGTAGCTGCCTGTTATTTGCAGTACCATGCTAAGCTAAAATGTGTGTTTGCCTTGATATAAAACAGGAAGCATGTATTAAACCTATGGAGCAAAGAGAAGCTACCGGAAACAGTTAGACAAGTGTTTGGGCACTTATCCTTGCTTACTGTGATATTAGATACTAAGTGTTACTTACAAAGCAGATTCTGAAATGAGATATTTTTGCCTAACTAAGAGATTTCATAAAACTCTGATAGGAAACTGAGGTTTTTAATATTTTTGAAAGTAAAAAACACACCCAATTCTGGTTCTTATTTAGTTTTTCAAAGAAAATATTTATAGAACAATCACAAAAATCTTCACAAACTAGTTTTCTGCAGTGAGTTTCCACACTGGAATTATCACACCAGTATAAAAAGAATAAACAAAATATAAATTAATTTTATAATGGTATTATAAAGTGTTTTTGACCTGAGCTGTAATACAGGCTCATTCCATGTTGACTAATACTTGCAAATCACATTTTATCTACTATTTTGCTACACACTTGCTTAAGATGCAAGCATATAGCATACAGCCCTACCCTACAGTAAATACTAATTCTAGAGTTACTACTTGAAAAATGTGTCGTAACCTTCCTCCATAAAGCATTGCACAAAATGAGCTGTACCCATTCCCCTACTTTAGTGCTTCTCAACCAGGTGCCACACCGCCCCCTTGGGGGTGTTGCAGTGGTAGAGGCTAGGTACGACTGCCATGCGCACTCCCTCTGCAGTAGGGCTCCCTAATCAGTAGGGATCTACTTAAGGAACCTACTTAAAGCACACCAAGTGCAAATGAAAAATTGCAGGCCACTTGTAGTACCCAGCACCATTTTCACAGTCTTTTTGCAGTGAACTCCCCCTTTGCTCCCCTGATGTGCAGAGAAGTCTGCCTTTTGCGTGACCCTGCCCCTTGTCACTGATTGGCAGAGGCAGGGCTTCATGAAAAGTAGCCATCTTGGCTGCTCCATTTTGGAGCAGCTCACCCCAGCCCTCAAGTAGGTTGCAAAGCCAGGCTAGCAGCCACTAGCTTCTTAATCAAGTATTTTCCAGTGATTCTCTGCAATATCAAAATTTCAGTATGTCCCTACTAAATCAGCCTAATGTGCTGTATGGCACTTCTTAGTCTGGTTCCCCCAATGCTCCTCCAGGAAACGGGCACAAGTAGAACTGTCCCATCTGCTTCTGTTTAGGATGAGCACAGAAGACATCAAACTGTAGCATTACACAGCATGAGGCAGCACCTGCCTCCTTTAGGCTGATTAGAGAACCCTAATGCAGGGGGGAGCATGTGCATGTGATGGCCCTTCCTGGGCTAGATGTGCAGCAGTTTCAGCTGGAGGCAGCAGAATCTGGCTGAGAAGCACTAGTGTAAACTGAGGCAGCACCACCTGGTTTTTCAGCCCAGGGGTGCCACCACATTAAAAAAAAAAAGTGGAGGTTGGGTGCTGTGACTGAAAAGGTTGAAAGACACTGCCCTATTTCATGTCACCAAGAGGGGTGGTAGTGGAAATCTTGCTTGCACAATAAAACTAGCTCCCTGTTGCCTAGCGGTCACATAGTATAATAGAAAACTGCAGGAAGTCAGCTTAAAAGCAGCATAGTCTCTACTCCTTTACTAGAAAGTAAGTTCCAGGATCAATTACTACACCACAGTAATTTTCTCCTGTGTCTGCATCCTTCATTAAGTGCAAGTTTTCTTACCTTTAGAAATGATTTGCTATATCTGTAAAAGTGACTGCCCTTTGAGAGAGAGAGAGAGAGTGATAATTTAAACCTACCTGGACATTCAATTGCTGACCTGAGGGTAGCTGGTCTTAGACCACAAAACTTAAAAAAAAAACAAAACCCAACTGGAATATTAAACTCTGGAATAAGAAATCATCCAGACTGGACTGTGTTAAGTGCAGTCTAAACAGGGAGTCTGGATCTTTACCCTGTTACCTGCTGGATTAGTTTTTGTGCCCCTTTGTCCCTACAGATTTATTACTGTTTGCCTCTCCCCTCCCTATCTTTTGTATTCAAATCACTCCATTTTATACACTCTACTGTGCAAGTCCTTACACAGCATCTGATGACGTGAGCTTGGGCGTACAAAGGTTCCAGAGACATATACACATCTCTGATTCAGTTAGTCCATAAAATGCAGGTCTACCCTGCCTTCTGTCCTTTGAAAGATCATGATAGCTTGTCCCCGTTATAATCCTGCCTATGTTTACTACTTAAATTTTACTTATTTTAGCACTGTTAAAAGATAACATCTCACTGGTCTAGGTGTCAGAACTGCCACTTAAGACATTTGCTACTTCTATCCTCTGCTATAATCATGGGTTTTAAATCAGAAATGACAGAGTTCAGTTTAAAAATTGTTCCAGACTTCTGGGATGAATACCATCCAGATCTAAACTAAATCAAAGAGCAACAATTCTTTGATACAGAAAATGGCTTCTAGAATGAAGAATAAACTGAGTATTTGGCACAAATATTTTAACACTGTTTTAAAGTGAACATAAACCTCAAACTAAATTAACCTCTGGCCATTTTAACCTAATTGAAGCTCAAAAGGGAAAATGTGCTTTGCTATCCTGTAATTAATAATATAGCAGAGTTTGGACCAGGCCTGTGGTGCCAGCACAGGGAGTCATTATCTGCTACAGTAGGCCCTTGTGTGCTAGATCACGCAATCCAGTATTACCATGCTTGCCGTGCATGTAGAGAATCAAGTTACATTTAAAAATTCTAGGTAAAACAAAATTCTAGGTACTTTGGGGGAAAGCTGCCAGAAAGGGTAAATAAGAATGGTCTTATATAATAGGGCTAAGGACAGAAATTACACCTAAATCAGTATAAGTCATCAGAAACCAGTTCAAAACTGTAACAACAGAAGTTCAGTGACCATAAACTACTTTCAAAATTGCCAAAACTGGTTTAAGATAAATCTGGATGGATGTAGTATCAGACTTAACTGATTTAGGTTAAATGGCTTTATTCAACTTCTGTCCCACAGCTCCTCCAGATTCAAGTTAACTCACAGTCCCCCAGAACCCCAAGATGCTTTGGTCTAAACAGTGTAGGTGGGCTAGCCTTAGCCCAAGCTGTCTGCTGAGCAGGAAGGCATGTTCTAGCTCCCCTCAGCTTCTGGCCTGGTCACTGCAAGCATGTGGCTGCATTTCCAGAATCAACATAGTACTTCTAAATCACTAAGTGAATCATTTAGTAAATTATTTAGTGATTTAGAAGTACCAGAATCCAATGTTCACTTGCTTACTGGTTCAATCTATGCAGTTTAAGACTAACTTGCAAAGACTGAATCAATTCAACTTCTAGCTTTCTGACCGCCTACACTTAGCCTTCATGGAAACCGAAACACTTTAAATCCCATCCCATACTATCAAGCTCCAATATTAAAAATATCACAAATACACCACACACAACTCAGAGGTATGTGAAGGTGACAAATACTGTTGTCTGGAAGGTAAAGCCTGGGCCTGTATGCCATTTGTGCATACTTATTTATGCTCAAAAGTAGATTTGGCTTAAGATGAGGTCAGCAATCATATTTTACTCAGTTCCTATAAATGAAAAAATATTAAAAACAAAAAGTCTGACAAGCAAAGCCTTTTGAAAACCAGGATTTTAACAAAACTTGCAGCACATCTGAAAGATTAACTCAGTCTTATCTGTGCCTTCCTTTCATTCACACAAACCGCTC